AGATGTTTATTCAGACTGCACGTTCATCCTAAAGAGAAATCACATTTGGTAATTTTTTTATCATTTGAAGTGTTGACAAACATTAAATGCTAACTGAGAAACTGTACATACCAATAAAAATGATAGCAGTGTTTCTCAATCTTCTTAAGCAATAGTACACCTCGGAGCAAATGGAAATATCATGGCACACTTAGCAAAATTTTTAAAGGGTGTACGTTTAAATGTTATGAAATATAACCAATTTTAAAAAATACTCTGCTTGTCTTTTCTTGAACTTATCGGTGATCCATTTCAAATTATGGATGTGCAAAAGTCAAAAAAATATTACTATGAAAAAATAACAATTTCAGTACAATTAATGTCATTTTCATTTTATACAAATTTTAGAGTAATATACTTTTAAAAAATTGGAAAATTATTAAATTAAATGTTCAATGCTGCATATCGGTAACTTTGACAATATTAATTCAATATAACTTTGTAAAAATTTTGAATTAAATAAAGAATGTTGAATACAATAATATGAAAAAAAAAGGTTAATATTCCTTTATTCAAATAAAAATTTTACAAGGTTAAATTAAAAAAAAAAATACTTTTTAAAAAATGAATATTAAAACAAAGTATTTAAATACTTGTTCATTAATTCAAATACTAATGCTGTACCATTAATACTTCCACACATGCACACACACACGTATGCTGTGACAATATCTTTCAGCCCACTTAAGATGATCACACAGCACAGCGGTTGAGAATCACTGGACAATTGGAACATCTAGAGGAATACAACTTGCATTTGTTGAAACCTTATTGTATCCAGAAATAAAAATTGAAAGACAATGTTTAATTAATTCAAACATGTTTTTAAAGTTGACAAATTTAGTATAAAAAAAGCATGTAATATATTATTTATGCTAACTCTTTTAGCCAAAAAAAAAAAAAAAATGCTAATTTAACCATTGCTTAATATTAGAAAGCATCATGAGCACTGCCTTTTTTAAATTAAAAAAAAAAAAGGAAAAGAAAGAGCTAAATACAATTTGAACTCTCATCTTCCCAAGTCGTCTTTCAGTTACTGTTTATTGTTTCTTCTTTTTCTAAATTTGGATGCTAGTTCAGATTTTGTTTCATCCCCAGACACTAACAAGAAAACCATTTGCCTTCATTATCATTTTAGTCTGTGAAACTTAGGGTTCAGCTGCATCTGCCTACTTCCTTACAAGTCAATTTCTGTGAAGTACCATTTGGTCATTGGCCAATAAAACTTGGGGATGGCTTCAATATTTATTCCCGTTGAAATGCAGACAAAGATGTATTCAACAGTGTTTCCCACTGATTTACAAGAAATGTCAGCTCTGACTTAAAAGGTTTAATTGACAATGACAATGTAAAGCAATCTGTTTTCTATTATATAAAAGGTGTTCACGTATTAGGAATTCCCTTTTCTTGCTGTTTTCTTTTTGTTATATAATAAAGTATTTGCAGGGTAAAAATGGCTGGATTATTTATATATGTATCAGCAGTTCTCCCTAGGAGCAGTGTATGGAATATCTGCACAATGTGACAAAGAAATAGTAATAATAATTATTTTAATATATATGTGTATGTATGTATGTATGTATGTATGTATATATATATATATATATATATATATATACACACATACACATACAGAGGTGATGAAGAGTTCTTGGACCAACTAAGAAAGGACATCCCATAGGTTTAAAAAAAAAATGATTCTATTTGGTCAGTTTTCAATTAGGCTAAGAACCTCAGGCAAATGTAATCTCTTACTCATTTTTCACACACACACACACACATATATATATATATAAAATGTATTGGTTTTTCTTTCTTTTTTTCATACAAACTGAAGTAGTCTTTACACATTTCTAATAAATCAAAATTATAAAAGTTTCATTTTATATATATATATATATATATATATATATATATATATATATAATTGAAAAGTTTTAATGATTGACTTTTACTAAAAGAATATAATTTATTGATTCCATCCAATTCTAATCATAACGGTTTGGTTTTCCCTTCTGTTGATTTAGTTTTTTTATTGTGCTGTCAGGAGTGTTTTGCTTTGAAATTTGAAGGGAAGTAACAAATATGAAGGGAGGTAATTCCATATTATTGGTTTGTAAACATGCGAAGGATTTGTTTTATTGATGGCATTTTTTTTTTAAATTATCATTTATTTGAGAACGGTTTAATCTTTGTAAAGTATTTCATAAGCAAGTTGATCTAATATCAAGAAATACTACTACATTATTTTTAATCTTAGCTTTTTCAGCTATGTAGTTCTTTCAGATTTTCTCCTTACAGCATCAAGAAATGTAAATGTCTTGGATAAATCTTCAAAAATTTGATTTTCTTTGCATAAAATCCAACTACTACTTTTTTCACTTGTTTTGTTGAAATCAAATTCTCACAGCTGCTTTTAGTTTTTGGTTGCAAGCTATTAACACTTCCTTAGAATTAATGATTTATTAAATTCAAATGTTAAAAAAGAAAATATGCATTGGGTATTGATCAATAAATTAAGGCCAAGTTGAAATTTTTTTTTTTTTTTTTTTTTATAGCCCCAATTAATTTTTATTTTATTTTTTATTAATTTCTCTTTTATTTCTATATTTTTTTAAAACAATTTTTCAAATTTGACTTGACCTAAAATTTAACAAAAAGTTTTATTTTATCTGTTTTATGAAATCAATCTTGCTAAAGAAATTGATTCTTTAACATTTGGTGCACTTTTGAACATGATCCTGGTTTAGCCTGTTGTTCTTATGCATTTGAAGAGTAAATGTAGCCATAGTTGTGTGTGCGTTCTCATGCGCGTATATATATATATATATATATATATATATATATATATAATAGTGAAAAGAGCTACAAAAGAAAAATAATATCAAAAGATTCCTTTACTTTTTGATTCAGTCAGTTATTTCCATTCATGTTAATTAATATTGCAAATAAAACAAAAGAAAATTTAAAAGACAAAAGAGCACATTAGTCATTTTTTCCCTTTCTTTACTTTATTGTAGATGTAAATTCCTTCCAATTGGTGCTTAATATTGGTGTTAGAAATTGCAGAATAACAAGATTGATTAGTTGTGTTTCTTGTTTGCAGGTTTATTTACTTAAAACAAGTAATAATTTATGTATTTTAATTGCATGTTAGTTTTTGTCAGTTATGATTTGTAGACCTCACCAAATCTGGCAGTATCATTTCACCCAAAGCAAGTGTATAATGCCACTAAGATGCAAGGGGAGGTAGTTATTGAAACTGAAAGGAAATAAGACATTAGTGAGGAGAAAGGAGAATAAAAGAACAGGTGATTAAAATAAGAGATGGTGATTTACACTGCATTTAAATTTTTTGAAGATCATATGTGGTAGGGAAGCAAGGAACTGGAAGATGCAAAAAATATGTGTGAAGAAATTATTAGAATTGAACTTTTACAATTTGCTATTTCAACAGTAAAACAATGAGACCTAATTGCCACTATAGCTGTATGCTTAAATTCATGCAGTCAAGTAACTAGAGATGAAATTAATATTTACTTTGAGTAATACAAAAATGTGGCATAAGGCCAAAAGTGGGTGATCAGGGAAGACTGGTCTTTAATCTTTCTTATCTGAAACTCAGCTAGCCACAATTACTAACACAAACATAACATCGTATTCCTTACCCCAAAACAACATATTCATAGTTACCATTTTTACTACAGCCACTATAATATTGCAGTCTCTATGAAGTCCAAATTAGTTCCCAGAGATGAAAGCTCATTAGAACAATAGCCACAAAAATATTTATTTAAGAAAGACAAATGGAGGCCACAGAACAAAGGTGGGAAAGTGACAAGTCAGTATTGATTACATTACAACAACAAGCCCTTGGGATTTTGTTGAGATATGTAACAAGATGTGTGTGTGTATATATATATATATATATATATATATATATATATAATAAAGGGGTTATTGATCAACACGGGCTGTTGACCCGTGCTAACCAGGGACCCTTTTACGATGTATGAGGGTCAGGCACCACAGTTCCTAGGAACCAGTAGCCAGACAACCTGCACATATGACTTGATTATAGGAGTGAAGGTTTTTTGAAGAGTCGAATACTGAGACCTAGTGCACTGTGTGCCACAAGGTCCCCAAACAACACTCTGCAGGTTTTGAATTCAGATTTCTCCTAGACAAGTTGCCATCCAAGGTTATAGAACCCAGTCTGTTCTGCAATTTATCCATAGCTAGGGGGAGAAGAGGATTCATACCTTTCCCAAGGTTATTAGCACATAAGTGAAGATAATGGATTCAACTGGATTTCAAACTCAGGTCTCTGATTCCTCAACCTGAGCCGCTAACCATTACTCCACTGTGCCTCCTCTGTGTGTGTAGTGTTTATTGGGAAGTGCTCAATATCAGTGATAGAACTAACTTATTCAGTTGTGTGTATGTGTGTGTGTGTGTATATATATATATATATATATATATATATATATATATATATATATTATTTAGTTGTATGCATATGGTTTGTGGCTCTGGGTTTCATGCTTTTGCAATCATCAGAAATATGATGTGGCAAAAGCATGAAACCAATGGTCACAAACTCTATATATATAATTGAAAGTGGATATAGTGAAACACAAATTAAAAAATTGTTTGAACTAAATTTCATTTCAGTCTTTGCCTCTGTTTAAGAAAATTTCAAATTCCTGGTTGAGCTTCTCAAAAGTAGCCATGAAATGCTAACACAGAAATAAACATATTTTTACTATCTTTAGAATGTTGATTCAAAGAAATCTATAGATTTATACTTGAAACTGGCAGTTGGTATTATTTTCAGTTAGATGTCCTCTTAAAATGAATCTGTGCATTACAATGTGACTTATCCTTCTATTCTTTTCTTGCTTTTAAAATAGAACATTATATGAGTTTTATTTAATTTTTTTTTTCTATTCTTTTTATAGGGTACAAGAAGTTACGCAGAGTTGAAGACCGCAAGAAACAAGAGCAGCAGAAAAGACAACCAGCTGGTGGTCGTTTTGATGTTCAAGCCATTATGGATCGTGCCATTGAAGTCCGGAGGAAGGCTCTTGAAGCCAGTGACAGCGAGGAAGAAGCGTTTTCAGATGAAAATGAGTGGGATTCGGAATAATTTGACCAATTCCATATTTTGGTTATCAGTGCTTTGAAGTTGGGATTATTGCTATATAACATGTTGTCAGCATCTACCAATTAGACATCTCTTGGATACCACTTAGTTATATGTACCCCAATCTGGCCATTTTTTTTTTCTTCCTCCTCCCCATCCCCTCCCACCTCCTAATTCTTGTGGGGGTGGGGGCGCACCTGAGGATGTGACAGATGTGAGACAACTTCTTATGACACACCATAGCAAACAATAGTCTCACAGGTCATTGTGAGCTGCCAGTCTATTGTACAATAACTGAAAAATGTCTGACACATGAGAAACATCTTTGCACTTGGTACTTTTCAAAAAAAAAAAAAAAAAAAAAGAAATAAAAAAAAAAAAAACTTATGAAATAGAAAAGAGAAAAAAAATGAAGTAAATGAATATCACAAATAAAAGAAACAAAAAACAACCCTTCTCCAAATAAGGAAGAAAAAAAAAGAAAAATTCAACTACTGTAGTTATTTTGCTTCAAATGATCACACATCATTGTATTTTTCTTGATTATTTAATGTACAGGGATGTGTAATTGTAAAACACTATTATTGCAAAATTATTATTATTATTATTTCCTTTCCTTTCCCTACCCCCCCCCCATATTTTAGCTTTTAACAAAAAACCCAAAAAAAATATAAAAGAAAAAAAAAAACATAAAAAGAAATTGAAATATTATGAAAAGGGAATGAAATTAATTCTAAGAATGGCACTATCCCCCCACCCCAAAGGCTTAAATGATGTAAGAACAGAAAGGACCATTTGAAAGAAAGGATTTTCTTTTTTTTTTTCTTTTTTTTTTTTAAGTGTGCATTTGATATGGTGGGGAAAAGCCATATTGCATAAAAATGGGAGACTGATGTGGAATAAAAGGAAAAGACCCAGACTGGAAAAGTTTGTAGGCAAAATTTTTATCAAAAGGAAATGAAAGAAAAGCAAACAAACAAAAACAAGGATATTAAAAAAGAAAAAAAAAATAACCTGAGAATTAAAAAAAAAAAAAAATGCAAAAGACAGATGAAGAAAAAAAGAAAGTTAAAAGAAGTAAAGGAATTTAAAAAAAAAAAAAAACTGAACATGAAAAAATGATAAAGACGAAAAAACACTGAAATTATTGTAATAATTGCTACCTATCGTTAAATACTAATGAATATTTGTATAATGAACACTGCTATTATGTTTACTTGACTAAGATTTTACACAATTATTGTCTGTTAATGTCTTGGTGGATGAACCTTTCCCTCTCCCACTCTCTTCCCTTCTTAACCTTTCCCTGCTATTATTTTTTTCATTTTTTGTTTTGTTTTTGTTTGTTTACTTTTTTGTAACAGCTTTTTTTTTTCTCTTTCTCTCAGTCAGTATTTCATTTTGTTTGTTTTTTTTTTTTTAAAAGTCTGAATCAATTTCACCCTCTCTTTTACTCTTGCTCCCCCTCCTCCTCCTTATTGCTGAACCTTACTTCTTTCTACCTAGTCTTTCTTTTAATCCTCCCCTCATTCACTTTTTATATATTTGGAACCCCCTTCGAAGAAAAAAAAAAAAACAAGAATAATAATCATACCAATACATTCATTCATGCATGCATATGTGTGTGTGTGCGTGTGTTAAAAAAAAATTAATAATTAATTAAATAAAATAAAATAGTGCTGGGGAGGATTTAGAACTAGATGAACTTACATGATTTATTTAAAACAAAAAAGCCTTCTTACACAGCATACATCTATACCTATTATTATTATTATTATTATTATTATTATTGAAAAGACATGTTCTTGGTCTGATGATATAAAAGAAAAAAAAACTGTAGATTATCATTACTATTATACTTAGTATACCCTTGACTACTTTTATTTTTGTGTGTGTTTTATATATATATATATATATATATATATATATAAAAATTTGTTTTGTGGTTTAGAATTTTTTCCCCCACCAATGCTCTGTCTCATAAGTTTTACTTTAACTTCTGATTACTGCTGCTAAATGTATTTCTACTTTCTTATCAGCCAGATAGACTACATTGTTAATGCTGCAACTTATGTTAGCTATTTTTCCTGATCACATTTTTTGTGTGTGTTTGCGCGTATGTGTATGAGAGAGAGAGAGAGAGAGACTCAGTTGTTTTATTTAGTATAGGGAAATTTCTCTGGGTATAAATGACGTACAGCAGCACAAAAAAAAAATGTATTGTAAATTGTTTCAAAGAAGGAAAAAAATTACTTGAAAAAAGCCATCAAAACTGGATTTTGTTTTGTCTTTATTAACTAATAATCTTCTTTTCCAACCTCCCCGTTTTGTTCGCCCCCCCACTTTATTTTTTTAATTTTTATTTTCAACTTTTCAAAATGTGTTCATCAATGTTAGTTTGCTATAACGTTCTCTTTATGTCCTGAGTATTTTATTTTTCTTTGCTGTTTTTGAAAAAAAAAAAAATTGATTAATTTTAAGCATTTAAACTTAAGCATTTATGTAATATTTTGTTTTTTCTCTCTCTTTTTAAAAAAGAAAAAAGCGTTAATCTCTTTCCCCTTCTGATTCATCTTTTACTTTTTCTTCTAAAAGAAAAAATAACCACTCACTCAAACATTTTTGCTAAACTCTTTGGATCGGGTGTGACAGTAACCACTCAGGCATTTAAATAAAACAGACACGCACACACACATGCACACACTGATGTTATCACTTGAGCTTGTTATTCATAAAAATTATACTTGAAGATGAAAGCAAATCTGAAGTTTATCTTCATAAATTATTTTCAGTCTCTATCAAGACATTTCCAAATAAATATATTGATTTCTATAATTTTTTTTTTTTTTTTTAAATAACCATTTTACATAAAAACTGACTTTGTAAACAATATCTTAGATGTTTCAGTATTTGTTGCTGTTTATTATAAAAGCACACACGCTGTCAACTGATAGAAATAAGAATTACTTGACTGTATCTTGTTAACTTATATATAATTTATTATATATAATTTGGGATGTGTGATTCGCTTTTTTTCTCTCCCTTTTTCGTTAATTTTCCCAACTTTATTCTGAATTAATTCATGTAACATGTTGTGGATGTTACAACTGATCCTAATTTTATTTCTAATTAAAGATTAAAGAGTTGTAGATGTTGGATGAGTGAGTGGAACAGATTGTAGTTTTTCAAAGCTTGTCGTGCTCTGTTCATATGTAAGTCAAAGCGTGCATCTGTCTTAGTGTCTCGTGCTTCTACTACTACTACAACAACAACAACAACAACAAAAACGGCAATCTTGGCTCAGTGGTCTGCCTATCTCAGATTGGACAGTTAGTACAGAATTTCTGGACACCAATATCCCTCTCGTTTTATTCAGTGCAGGGAAAAACAAGAAAACAAGAAAGAAATTTCTAATGGACATGAGATCTGATGACAACAGCCACTGATGACTACTGTTACTTATTATATATCATTGTTTCAATGGCTTCTTCTTTACTCTGTATATTTTGTAATATAATTTTCAGATTTTAACTTTGTTTCTTTTTTTTTGTTTTCTCTCTCTCTATATATTTTTTTCTTTTCACCATGCACTTAATATTCTTTCTCTTTCTCTTCCTCCTTGACCCATGACCCCTTTTCCACAAAAAAAAAAAAAAAAAAATACAATCTCATTCTTTTTTGTGCACTTATAGTTTGGGCCTGGTTGTAAAGTAGTGACACAATTGGTATGAGATTTTACCTGCTGGTTCAGTGATGCTCATTACCACAAAGTCACTTCAAAGAAGAAACATTCTATAAAACCTGGCAATCATTTTTCTCACTTTTCTTATTGCTTTCATTTTTACACCATCATGGTTTCAATTCGTATTAATCATTTAAAACAAAAAATTTTTATTGGTGTTTTTCCAGAACAACTTAAATATTTTTTTTTTTTTTTTTTTTTACAGCACTGTTTAAATTACCATCTTTTTATTTCTTTGTCTTCTTTTCCTATTTTTTTTTACTTCAAGCTTCAGATACCGCAGAAATCAGTAATTTACAATATTGTAAAAAAATAAATTTCAACTGCATTAAAGCTAATGAATACATTTAGATAGGACAAGAGGCGGTAACTCCGCTTTACTTATGCCAACAGCTTTCAGTTGCAGTAATGGGGGTTATCGCCCCTTTGTTAGCCATTTTTAACGTTTAAAAGCAGTTTTTGACGGCTTTTCAATTCTGAAGCAAAACTATAAACGAACTATAAAAAAAAAAGATGTTTGAGATGTTCTGGAAATTAACCTCTTTCACAAGTTACGTTTGGGAATTTGTTATATATTTCTTTAGCAAGAAACAAAATTAATAAGGTAAGATGATAAAGCACATTTATTTATCATGATAATTGAGAACACACCCACTCTCAAAAAGCTTACATTTTGTAACTTCTTTGAGAGTAGTCATTATTTAGTGATTTCTTTAAATTGCCTATTTTGTTTAATTTCACTCCTCTGTAGTCAGGTATAATTTCTGAAACAAAATATTTAAAAATGGCATACACACACACACACACACACACAGGATTATCATTCTAACTGGATATTTTTGCAATGTTTCAGATGTTGTACCCTCCAGTTTTACTCAGGTTACCAGTTATAACAAGTGTCTATCAAAGAATTTCAAAGCAACTTGGTATCTACACTGATATAACAACCATTTACTCCTGCCTCGGTATTAAGGCTGATCAGTCCGACATGGTCAAAATAGCAGCTGATGTCCAAAACGACCTCCAGTCTGTTGTTAACTGGGGCAAAAGATGGCTTGTTAATTTTAACACCTCCGAAACTAAACTTTTTCTCCAATAATCATCTGAGAGATCCCTCTGTGTCTTCTATCAGCATGGCTAATGCTAACCTCCAGGAAAGTGACGTTGTGCCTTCTCGGGCAACCTTCTCAGCTGACACGAAGTGGAAAGACTATATTAAATCCATTGCTAGGTCAGCTGCTAAGAAGGTTGGTCCATTTGT